CAAATCGTTCAACAATAATGGTGATTTGACAAAACTTCGACGTACACACACTGGTGAAAAACCGTACGCTTGCGACGTGTGTGACAAATCGTTCACCAGGAATTTCTCTTTGACAGAACATCGACGCACACACACTGGTGAAAAACCGTACGCTTGCGACGTGTGTGACAAATCGTTCACCAGGAATTTCTCTTTGACAGAACATCGACGCTCACACACTGGTGATAAGCCGTACGAGTGCGACGTTTGTGAAAAATCGTTCBCTACAAGCTCCCGTTTGACGAAACATAAACGTACGTGCATGGCAATMTGATCAATATGATCAAATATCCGAGATCCAAGGATTGTATTAAATAGGATAAGTCATATTAACAATTAATAATGTTTGCACTGATAATATTATATTGTGATTTTTATACTTTATAATGAATATATTATTTAACACGCTATTTATTCATCATTTGTTCTTAATAATTTAGGGCCGTTCTTATACAATGTCAGGTTAAGTGTCGGTTAAGACTAACCGGTAGAATTCTATCGGTTAACTCATGATAAATTCTTCCGGTTAGTGTTATCACTGTTATCAGGCACTAACCGAACATTGTAAGAACGGCCCGTATTATATAAGCGTACAGGGTCTCGATAATCCGAACGAAATTGGGGAGAGGGGTCGTTCGGATTACCTATGGCTTAAAAAAAACATCAATTTTATTGTAATTTAAAATATGAAATTTAATTTTGATTTGTATTAATCGTGTAAAAACTCGTTATTTTAAAAGACAATGAATATATTGTTGTATGTGGCATGTGTCAATTAATAACAATAGACAAATATTACTTCTTTTCGCTAAATGTTTAAATTGCGTAATATTAGGCCAACGAAGCAAATGAGCTGAGGCAGCACTTTGTAAAATAATATTTAAGGACGTAAGCACCAGAGTAAAGTGACAGTGCGGGTTTCGAGTGAGAGACGGCATATTATGTTTGTAAGCGATTCATAGAGACCCGTATTTTTGTGTGTTTGTTTTATGTTTAATAAAGTTTTTCAAAATAGTGTTAATTGTTCATCAATTATTTTGTGTACCATCGAGAGATAGGTATAATACAGTAATTTGATTCATTGGCCTAATATTACACAATTTAAACATTTAGCTAAAAGAAGTAATATTTGTCTATTATTATTAATTGGCACATGCCACATACAACAATATAAAAAAAAAAGCGGGTAAGTCGTGGATGTCGCTCTGCTGTACAGTAGGTTACTGTAACGGATGGGATTAAATTTGAATGCAATGATAGGTATCATTGTATACGAAAAACGATTCTGAACGGAGAAAATTTGTCAGTCTAGGATATATTATATTTAAATATTGTCACATATTCTATTTTCAAACAAATATTTTATTTTTCAATGAGGACGCATTTTGCATAAGGCATGGTTAATCAATTTTTCCAAAAACATTGCATGTATAGTTATCATAATTCATAATACTTTATATTATCATAGAATTTGCCCATGAAAGTCGCACCAGATGATATGTAATTGTTCAGTATAAAATCAGCAAATTCAAATTATCAGCAGGTCTATTTTCAATTAAATAAGCAAAAACATCTTCTACATCTTCTGAAGGTAAAAATCCAAGTGGAAAAAATTTTTTCAACCAAATACCTAGTTCAGATTTTGTATTATAGTTTTTAATAAATTACTGACACTTTGAATTTTCTTGAACCAAGATTGGCCTAAATGGGCTAAATGAAATCTGCCGGTCATCATTTTGCAGTTTGGGAAAAAAATATCTAACAGCATTGTGAGCACTTTTTTCGAAATCAAATATGAAAATTTGATTGCTTTAATGAACTTTATATATATATGTCAAACAATTTTAAACATAAATTAATAATTGAGTGACACATTTGTATATAAGTTTTAGTTGATTTTAAGAAGTTAAAAAACAGTCAACTATAGGAACATAAAAACCGTTCTGTAAAATATGTATTATATTATAAAATTGTTCAAAAAATTTGGATGCATATGAAAATGTTCCATCTGCGATAATTGACTTAATAGTTCAAGATTAGTCTTACAATTGAATATAACTTTTTTTTTTAGCTTCTACAGTCCATTAAGGCCCTTCGCTGCTTCTACTAAGCCTCTCCATCGGTCTCTGTTGTCTGCATCCTCAATTATTTCAGTTTCATCTACTTGCACTAAGTCTTTCTTTACCCGATATATCCAACGCTTGCGTGGTCTTCCTCTGGGGCATGTTTTATTTGGTTTATATATCACAACTTGTCTCTTTGTCTGTCCTTATCTCGCCATATGTGATCAGCCCATTCCAGACGAGACAAAGCTTTTAATATTTGAAAGAAAGATCCTCAGAAGAATATATGGTCCCATATATAATACGGAAACAGGAGAGTACGAAAGGAGAACAAATGCAAAGATCGAAAGAATCTTTAAAATGGACCAAATATCCAAAAATATCTAGTCTCAAAAAGTGAATATAACTGCACTTGAAATTTCTTCCATGTGACAAAATAATTCACCAGTATTAGTTGTAATATTTTCACGAGTATCAAATAACTGAGTTATCGATTCGTCTAAAGATTTTGGAATTTTCGGAATATTTTTTCTACGTTTATCATACATACATTTTCTTTATAACTTTTCATCAGAATAAACCGGCTGGATATCTTTTTCCGTATTTCTAAGTCTTTGTCTATAATTAATTTATTGGGTCTAGTTAGCAAATSATTTGCGCATTTTCTTTTTAATCGAGAACTCACAACTTGCCTACTAATAATATTCTCTGGAATCTCGTCATGTGTATGCTCATTTAATATACTCAACACTTTGGTCACATCTTTATCAACTAGTAAACTAGTAGAACAATTTTTATCTGTACGGCGATACTGAATATTTCCACACTTTTTCAGAACTTTAGATTCACTAAATTTATAACCATCAACTAAAATACATGGTTTACCTTTTTCGGTTTCAAATTTTTGTGTATTTGTATCTCCAGTTTTAAAAGTTATGCGATACAAGACTGCGATACTATAATTTCACGTTTCGATAATATGTGAGTATGTGACTGGCGACTGACAACGATTGATAAAATAAATATTATCTAATTTTATTGTCGGATGTGAACATTAACCTATCTACAGTTATGGTAATAAAATATTATTTACAGACTCGTCGCCACTATAATATAGTATCCACTGTCCGTAGTACCTAATTGTATATAGGTACAAGGTCAGGCGCTGATCCAAGGAGGGGGCTAAGGGGCCATGCCCCTCCACCCCGTAGACTGGTGGATTTTCTATTATATCTATTTTCGGCAGCCGATAAAATGTATTGTTTTGACGATAGCGTTTCGGCCGTGTCCGTTTTTATTTAACATGTCCCCCCCCCCTCCCGTAAATATGTTCTAGATACGCGCCTGTACAAGGTATTATAGGTGGGTTTCTTAAAGCTTAAAGTATAATAATTTAAGCTATAAAAGACTTCATAAATATGTGTTTTATTTTTTTGTCAAAAACTAATGTTATTTATTCCAATAATACATATCGACAATCGTCACAATTTTTATTATAAAAAAATATTAGGGTTATCCATAATGTGAAAAAGGGAACGATCAAGCCACATTTTCAATTAATTGTTGTAATTTAGATTGCAATAAATGATATAATTTTCAAAATTTTACAAAATTTCCAACACAGATATTTATCTTTGTGGAAAATTTGAAAATTTTGTCATTAATCAAATCGGCATAATCCTTGCGACGTATTTTTGAAATTAGAATAGTGAGTTTGAGTAAAAAACTAACATTATTTCGTGATCAAAAATATTTCAATTAAGTGTCCATAAGCTATTTCAACATTTTATTACAGCTTATTCAAAATCTAGGTATAATACAACGAGCATTTACCCATCTTTATAAAATAAAATTTTTTAACCTGAAATTATGTACCTATTTTGACTATGTATTACGCCGTGTAATACTACGTTTACACAAATAAAAGAACATATTCGTTTTATTATTCCAACACTTTAAAATAAACTGCAGAAAATATACGAAAATAATACGTGTAAATATTTCTAAAAATCAGAATTATTTTTATTTAACATCAAAAATTATGTTGATAGTATTTATGATTCATAATTAATTAAACACCAGACGTAAATCCCTCTATTCGTATGCTCCTCGATAAAAACTCCACAATTATCATTAAAAACAAACTCCTATTATACAAAACATTGCTTAAACCAATGTGGTCTTGCAGCATCCAATTATGGGGTTCTGCTAAGAATACAAACATTAACAGAAGACAACGTTTTCAATTACGTATGATTACAAACGCGCCTTTCTGCATTTCAAATCACACACTTCACTCCAATTTAAACAGTCACAGAGGTAGCAAAATCATCCTACAAATTATTCCGCTCCAGACTAGCAAACTATTCAAACCTTTTGATCCTTACCAACATATCTGAAAATCCGCGGAAAAGATTAAAAAGAAACTGGCGTAGAGCAACAATGAAAACAAAAATTCAAATAAGTCATACAATTAAGTTCTTCACGTCATAAGTATTAGACGTAAGGTAGTTTCTTAAATCATGTAAATTCATGAAAAAAAAATCTATATATGCACATATGCTTATTGTAAAATTATTCTTACAGATTGTATATTTTCTAAAATAAATGTTTAAAAAAAAAAAAATGATAATCAATAATAATTTTTAAAGACTGTTTAATAGTATCATAAAAATCAATCAACATTTCCTAATAGTCTAAAATAAATTGCAAAAATGAAATTTAAAAACGAAGGATATTGGTCGTAAGAAAAAAAAACTTTAAAAAAAGCAATAACGTTGTTTAATACTCTGATCTACCATCTCATTTGTTTATATCAATTGAAAACTTAATATATATGTTTAGTGTTTAAAAATAAGTAATAACGTCATCATCACTAAAAAAATATTTAATTTCGATAAAATAATTTAATTTAAATTTTGTTATAATTCAATACGTTTTTATCGTAGAGAAATGAGAATTGAAATAAACATTTCATTATGACTTATATTTAATGCTGGGCAAATTTAACTATTTTTTTCATCCAATGAACTTTTATTTTTTAACTTTTAAAAATAAACGGTAACTTAACTTAGTTAAAGATCAATTATTTTATTTTTATCTACAATTTAAAATTATAACTTTAAAAGAAAAAAAATATCTTAATAATATTATATGCATATTCGAATTCAATAAAAATATATATTTTAAAATTAATTCCTGCAAGTGCTTT